TATCCAATTGCACTATTATTTAATGAGTAAATGACGTCGTTTGTTTTATAGACGTCTCGGCCTGTTTACAATCAGATACGTAAAATCTATTTGTGTAGGGTGTAGTTTTACCGAGGAATAAGAAAATCTTCATATGCAGGAAGAGTGGCACTGCTAGATAATAAATATTACCATCGAAGAAATGTACGATGAAGATGATTATCGTACTTGTTTTACGATATTCCGACCTCTCTCTCTCTCTCTCTCTCTCTCTCTCTCTCTCTCTCTCTCTCTCTCTCTGTCTCTCTCTCTCTCTGTCTCTATCTTTCCCTTCCTTCAAGATTTTCCATTTACGTCAGACCTGCTGTAAAAGAAAAAATATCTAGTTGTTTTTGTATTCTCTACTCAGATTAAAGAACCGGCTTTCTCGGAGAAAAGCAAGTAGCCGACAATAATTATCTTACGCTGGGTTGGCTTGGACTCTTACAGAGGCTATCACTTTTCAATTCATCCATCTTAAATGCTTGGACTTTGAAATTGTATGGTATTTTTTGTGGAGCATAGAAACGTTTCATATAGCTCGCTTGGATTATCCTCGATTACGTCTGACACGTTACGTGAATTTCCGTTTTGGTCGAACGATACTTCCTCCCCCTGACATGGCTGAGCCATGTCCTCTCGCTCCAACTGCTTGTACGTAATTCGTTATAATTCTCTTGATCATCGGAATTTTTTACTACATCTGTGCAATATATATATATATATATATATATATATATATATATAAGATGGTAGTAACTAATAATTGCCTGTGGATGATACACAAAGTTCCAAACTCCTCGCATCGATGTTACGGAGTCGCTTAAAGTCCCATTATTCTCGTCGAGCAAGGAAGGATAACTTTGCTTTATTCCCCATAAGAGACTACAATTTCTGCGATGTTTAGCCATTGAGCCGATCTGATTCTCGCGATTAACGTCTCCCTGATCCTCGGGATCTACCACGAGCACCATCACGGGGAGCCGGACAACGATCATTAATTGAGCTCCAGTCAAATTATAATTGAGAAGTTCGATAGCTCGATCCCGCTAGACATTTCCATCTTACGAAATAATTTTCTCCTCGCGTATTCATAAATTCATCTTGAATTCAGCGCGCGTAATGGAATTTTTAATTATGAAATGCAGAGTTGACGCTGCGGAAAACCCTGCGCCAACATTGGATACGATGATTTTATCGAATCTTTCGATATTAATACTCTTTGGTCGAAATGGTTGAATGTATAGGAGGATCGTGGTTTTCCTGGTAAACCTGTTTCCTATCAATACCAGGTATTTAGAAGCTGGCGATCCTTAGACTTTCGTCAATGTGAGATGTAACATGGAAAGGGCTTTAAATTCCTCAAGAAATTATTTAATCACTGGAAATCGTAAATATCGTCTATTTATAATCATTGAAAATGTAATACCGATTTCGTCCCATTATGAATTTAATTTTACGCCAATAAAAAAAAAACGTATTAGAGCAAAAATATCCCTACACTTTAATTAATAGTGCACGGCTTATTAAGCTTATTATGACAATGTACGTTTGTATAAAAAATGTATGAGAGAAATATTCATTTTGTTCGTCCTTAGTGAGTGGTAAATGTTTCATGAAATTCATTTTTAAACAAATTTATTAGCTGAAATATTGTATGCAAAATGCGTTCTCAACGATATTTTATTCAATATACAGTGATATAAATAATTCAATTATGGTATTTGCTATTTATATATGTGAATCGTGTGAATTATCATACTTCATAATTTAATTTTCATTTCATTATATCTAGTCTGCCATCCATTTCATTCTATTCGTTTCTTCTTCTTTGTTTTGTTTTATTTATATTTATTATTATTATTATTATTATTATTATTATTATTATTATTATTATTATAACTATTATTATTACTATTATTATTATTATTTTTTTATTTAACTAAATTCCTTGTAAAAATAATGTTGCGTATTATACAATGAAAAAGAGTTCATTTGATGTGTAATGTGTATAAATTAAGAAAATAAGAGTGTCGGGCAAAGGAAAAAAATATTAAAATTTTGCTCCAGTTGTAATTATTCTTAAAGCAAGTAAGTCATCGTTTTAATCAAATCTTGTATTTGTGCGTTTATTCAACATTTGATGACGAAGGTAAAAGAAGTGATGGAATGATGTGAGAAAGAGAGTATAAGGGATCGAGAGATTTTCAGAGATATTTAGAAAATATATAATAAAAAAAAATTCCCCAAGTTGCTTCCCTATACAACATAAAGAGCCATGAGTTTAATAAGAACTTTACAGGTATATTTCTGTTTATAATAAGATGCCTGAACTAAGTTTGAATGAGCTCGAGTAGAGTGTAAACGCAGTTATATTGTTGACTGACAGAACAGTGATTTGTAAAGGCATGGAAATGTCTTGTTTTTTTTGTGGATTATAATAAACTATTTTATTCTATGTTTCTTGCACTTTTGTTTTTTACCTGCTATTTGCTTAATGTACATCGATCGAGGCATTACTATAATATATAGATTATTGTTTCAGCGTTATGCAGTTTAACGAGAAAGCTTTAAACAAAGCTTTCAACAACAACAACAACAACAACAACAACAACAACAACAAATTCCCCGCAGATATACTAAATCTGGTTAGATAAAGCGAATATTGAAGTTTTATAGGTTGTATCGATAGTTCCATCAACAAATGGACAAATAATTGATAAAAGTATTAATTATAATAAATATTAATTATAACAAATGAAAGGAATGGTGCCCTACTCGTTAATGGCTGAAGGACGCTGGGCAATTTTATTTAGTAAGTATATTGATATCCCTACTATTTTAATCGGTAAGTACATTAGTAATCCTATTTACCTATTCCTTATGATTTAAAAGTTCTAGCAAATGCAGAGAAATTGTATTATCCCGCTAATAATACACGTGTCCAATAAAATATACGTGGATAATTAAAATTACATTTTGAGAAAGCGAAATGTAAAAATGATATTTTTTAAATGGTATAACAGAAAGTATTGAAGATAAGGAAATGGATTGCCCTATCGAAGGTTTGACTTAAGAAAAAAACTGTGACAATGAAAATTCTCAAAATGTATACTGCAATAATACTTGTTGTTTGGACGTCACGATACGAATTTTACTCTATATCTTGTATAATAATATATATGAAATATATTTGATATCGATTATGTAATTATTATTGACAATTACATTCACGGTTTGGTTTTAATCAGCTATAAAATGAAGAATCCGTTACTCACGTACGTGTGTATGTAAATATAAATTACCGATGATTACTTTTACATTCTGGTATTTATATTAAGCCGATTATTAAGAGTTTTAAAATATTTAGTTAGAAAAGGTTAAGAGCGGCATTATAAAAATAGTATTTATAAAACACTGATTCGTGGATCATGAAATTTTATTTTACACTGGAGCCAATGTTTTTTTTTTTTTTTTTTTTTGTAAATGCTTGCATAAAAATTTCAATTTATTAAATTTTATAAGTATAAGTTATATAAATATATAGTAATATTATAATAAACACATTTAAAATCCTTATTTTAATTAACTTTATGTGTAATATTGGTGTTACACATAGAATAAATAATCGATGATAGGAAATATCAATATATATTTTTTATAAGTTTTACAGGAAAGAGACATCAATAATTGACCGAATATAGAATCATGAAAGTTAATGATTTAACGAAACAGTAGTTAACTTGCTTATAATAAAAATACTTCAAATTCAGTATTACATCTATAAATTTTTTATTTGGAGTGTTGTACAATTTTTTTTTTCTTTTCAATGACGCACTTATAATATAAAATGTATAATAAATTACAGAATCATTAAATTTTATATAAAGTAATAATGCTTAAAAAGTACAAGTAATATTTGGTCATTTTTGCTTTTGTGGAATAACATATATACAAGTAACATATATATATATATATATATATATATATATATATATATATATATATATATATAATAAAATATAGCTAACAATTAGTTTTTGTCACTTTTTCTTACAATAAATCGCCCCTTCTTTCCTTTCTTTCTCTCTTTCGATAGTAAAGAATTACTTATGATGGTAACACTATATTAAAATATTATTTTTTATATTGCTTCATTGCTTATATGTAAAAGTCGTTGAACAACATTCGTTCGGAAAAGATTCTCTTTTTTAAATTTTTAATTTTATTATACTATTGCAAATTCACAAATATAAACAATAGGAAAATCGAGCATTTACCTATTAAGCTTTCATAAATTACGAATAGCTTTACTTTGAACAATAACAGTTTATTATTAACTATTTATTAGCCCAAAGAGAACGTAATGATGGTGGAGCAGGTGTTTGTAAGTGATTATGTAGTGGTATTGCAGGTATGATGGGGTGTTTTCGTAGATGCCGAACCTTTCGTAATTTATGTTTCCGGTGTTGTTAGGTGATGATGATAATCACTGGTAGCAAGGGTGGATCAATGCTAATGTCCTCGAGTTTCATTTAATTTTTCATTTAATCGTTAATTATGAGATTATAATTATGTTTTATTCTAATAGATCTTTATTTTGTTTGAATTTGCATGTTAAGCTGGTAAGGAGAACATTTGTAGAACAAGTGAAATTAAATACAAGTTTCGTGAGATAATTTTGTCATCACAAAAAACACTTAGCTGCAACATAATACGAACGTGTAATCGAGTAATTATTAATCTTGAATTGAAAAAATTGTGTTGAGATCAAATGCCGTTGCATCTCCCGATTAAAATAAATATGATCGATAAGTCGCGTTCGTACAAATCGCTAAAATATGATTTATGCGATTGATTGCGGTGACTTAAGCAGCTTGTCGTCATAGTTTTCAATGTAAAGTCGTAGAACTTTTTTTGGAAGACTCATTCCAGAATATTGATATTGCGACGGGTCCTTACACCCTTGCACCCTTCTTTAATTTTTTATTCGTTCCTCTACTACATGATCATAATATTTAACAGCGAGCAATTACGCATATACAATGATACAAGGAGAAATGACATTAATACTGCATTCGCGCGCTATCAAAGAAATTTTAAAACAAACGTTTGTCTTTATATCAACATAAAATAAAATACATAGGACCAGTTTCATAACGTAATAGCGGATGAAATTAATACGGTCGAAGAACAACAATGGAGGAGGATTTCATCCCAAGTAATTACAAAATCTACTTACAACGTAAACGCAATGTAAGTAATGAAAAACAAAATGGTCGCAAAAAAAAAAAACGACAAAAATACAAGTTTACATTAATCTTAAGATATACGGCATCAAGTTTGATTACAAAAATACTTGGAATTATTGATATAATAAGGGCGACAATTCCGTTAGACCATCGGCTGGTCTTTCATGTTTTGCTGAAAAAGTCGACGGTCGAAGTAATGCTAAATAATGCAAGGGAGCTTCTAATTAATGATAGTAGATCATGAACCATTCGGTGAAGCGTTTGATGTGTTGGGTCGCCGCGTGATTTTCGTCCTGCAATCGACGATTCTCATCCCTGAGACGGCGAACCTCGTCCTCCAATGAGAGTCGGCGGCGCGTTTCGCGCGCTGCGCGCATCTCGAGACTCGACAGGTGACTCTGTAGGTCTGTGACCGAGGTTCTACGGCATGCGATAAGAATTTCTTTTTTATAATATCAGTCGGGAAGAGGATTGAAGAACGCTAGTCGTGCGGCTTGTTATATTAATCGATCCTTGTTCATTGCTATACAGGCAAAGGAATAATTGCACAAGGGTACATCGATTGCTTTATGTGCTTTCGCGATAAATACTTTTTTTTCTTATTATTTTTCTTTTTTATTCTTTTTGTTTTATGGATGACAATAAAATAATAACTTACGGAATTATCTTAAGCCCTTCCATAAGTCTCTCTTCCGACCACTCCTGATTGTGCTTGGACGTTCTATTATTCATGTCATCTTGATGATTTGTGATCCAAGAGTCGGCATCTATCTCGGGTGAACTTTTTATGTCTTTATTAATCACGTTACCCTGAGGCTTCATTTGTTGGGGTGTTTTTGTTACTCGTGGGGATAGTCTGGAATGTTTTTTTTAATAGTTAGCAATGCAAGTAATGTTTAACAAAGGATTGAGAAGATTTAAAAAGAAATTAATCGCGATATTTTTTTTTTTTTTTTTTTTTTTTCTTAAACATAAATAATGCTTTAATAAAGTAATTAAATTACATTTTGAGTATTTAAATATTTTTGTCAATGCGTTGCTCGTTTTATAGTATATAAAAAAAAAAAAAAAAATTTTCTCTCTCTTTTTGGCTCTTTTAATTCAATTGTACAATTATTGATTAATTTTTCGGATGAGACTGATGAAAAATGGAGCGGTTGGGTAGGAAGGAATCATGGCGTTTTTTGCCAATTGGGATTTTGACGATCAACAAGAGATCAATAAAATGCATATTTATGACATATACTACCCTTTTTTTCAGTAAACTTTATTTAATAATACAAGTATTAAGTCGTACAACCATTCAAAATTTCGAAACATGGAAACTTAAATAAAAACTGTTACTCAAAGTGGTTTAGTGGCGCCATCTAGTGAAAATGTTATCAAAACAAAAGCCTACCTCGAGCCAGTTATGATAAAAAAAAATGTCATTGGTGGTGCTCCGAAGAAATAAAATTTAATTTGAAATACGTAAACATAAAATTAAAATTAAGAGTAAGATTGAAATCGTTAAAAAAAGAATATTAAACAAAAATAAGACGCTTAAACATTTAGATAACTAAAATTAACAAATTGTATAGTGTCTAGTTGAATTCAATAATTAAAATTAACTTTAAATATTGCTCATATAATGGCTTCATTTCATTTTGTTTGCTTAATTATACAATAAATATAAATACAATTTCTTAATTTTATTTGTAAAAATAAGAGCGTTGGAAATTAATCATTTTATTACAAGAGAGAGAGAGAGAGAGAGAGAGAGAGAGAGAGAGAGAGAGAGAGTGTGTGTGTGTGTATGCGTCTAAATAAGATCACGAAATGTAATTTTCTTCAGACATTGTATCATCAAACACAAAAGTATGAAAAATCAAGAGAAAAAGTTTCATAAGAAATATTTTATATGAATGTATCACGAGTTGCGGCTTTCTTTTCGCGTAAAAAAAAAATTATGTAAAATTAATTTACTACTTTCATGATTGATTGATAAATTATTTCAAAGACATTGTCGAAGAATCTCCACCGATTTTTATTAAATTATTTACTTATGTTATTTAAATGGAATAACTTGAAATTAAACCGAGTAAAAATGTCTTTACGAGACGTGTCAAGGAATATTGTGAATTTTATGTTAACGTTAATGAATTAATTACGCCTTTAATATTAATAATGAGTTACAACTAAACTTTTTGTTAATACATTATCGTGAAAATCAAATAAAACGTTATAAATGCAGTGAATAAGCTTTGATAAAATTATAGGTAAGTTTACGAAATGTTAATACTAAATATTATTGTTCAATTGACTAATTCAAAAGAAAATTGAAATTGAAATTGAAAATCCTAAAAAAAAAGGAAGAAAATAAAAAATGATAATGAATAGTAAAACTATGTCTAGCGCCGATTTTTTTTTTTGTTTTTTTTTTTTGTTTTGTTTTAAATCTTACATCAGCAGAATAATCAATCCAATAATATTAATACGTACAAGTATTTTGTCGATTACAAAAATAATGGTCCTGGAATACACATTCTCACATGGAGACGAAGCACATGTGATTATGTCTCAACGAAATGAAAGATTTGCCAAAACAAAACAAAAAAATAATTATACATATATATATATATATATATATATATATATATATATATATATAACCCGATTAGTCAAACAATACTTTATAATTCGAAAATCGAATGTAGATGTAGATCAGATGCCTACCACATCCTCGCATGCAAACGATTAAGATTCGTAGTTACGGAAGAATTGTTATTCAATGTTACAAACTTCATAAGCCTACACAATGAAAGAAAAAGAAAAAGAAAATTAAAGCGTTAAATTCCATGTCAGCGTTGCTCAAAGTCAGCCGCCTTTAGACAACTTTTAGACCACATTACTTTCCAAAACTTAATCGAATCACGTATCACGTATCAGGTATCAGGTATCAGGTATCACGGGCAAGCAACGCGACAGACAGCCTCATTTCACGCTCGATCGTCGTTAATTCTCCTCAATCCTCGAAGTCTTATCTATGTTTGATAAATTATTTACCTTTCTTCTTTCGTCATTTTGTTTTCACTAGGCGCTGGACTCGATGCCGTGCTGGCATTCGATATAACCGTTGCTGGCCTTGCCATTGTCAAGATTACTTCGGAGCCAGGATTCCCGTTTTCCTGGGAGCCATTCGGCAATACGCTCAAAGTGGAAGCGCTATTCCCGCAAAGATTTTCGCGTGATCTACATCTGTTCTGAATCTCTAGTAAATTATTGTTTACTTTATTCGAAATATTTTGCTTATTCTTCGCGTTCTGATTGATAATTGGAGGATGGCCATCGGCGACTATGTAGTCGGGATTAATGAGCTTCATAAGGTCTTCTTGTAACGTACTGGACGTTAAGTTTGCCGAGTTTCTGTGCGAATTGCGTGCTCCGGACTTGGGCCGGGGACTCTGATTGCGCGATCCCGTGCTCGAAGGCGTCATGTTACCACCAGTGCGATGCTTGTTCGCTCTCCTCAGTCTGTAAGAAACATTGCGATAGGCGATTAACGTCGTCTTAATCGTCAGCGCCTGGGCTACATACACGTATAATAGATTATATAAGTGATCGAGGCTCGGGTGACGGGACGTTTGACGCGCGAGCAAAGGATAGTTTAGAAATATTATTAACAAGGACACGGCGATTGGATTGGCGATTGGATTGGCGATTGGATTGGCGATTGTTAGAGGGTAAGTAAGGGAGGCGAAGGATTCTCTTGTACCTGGGGGAAACATTGCCGGAACCGTTGGATAACTCATCCTCGCTCGGTAAAGTGGAAATGTCGGTGGCGTTGCCGTCGGTTATTCTGACCTCCGGCGGCAAACTTGACGTAAAATCCTTGGGCCTGTACTCGATGCTGACCTTGTGGGGCACGGGCCTTTCGGACATTGTCGTTTTAAGACACGTCACCTTCTCGCCGACTTTAAACTCCTGGGGCTGCTGACCCTCGTGCTCGTCTTTGCGCTCGTTACTCAAATCCATTTGCTGCAGCAGCATATCCGCAGTTTCGTATTTGCTTCGTCGTCTCTCGTAAATGTCCTCGTTTTTGGCCTTATTGTCCTCATAAACGTCGTAGGATTTCGAACCACGATCGACTTTGTTCTCGTTGTGGCCTATCGATAATTGCTCGAATTCTGTGTAGCGTACGAGATTATTATTGCTGCCGGATTTCGGTAGGTTGTAATTGGCATTTTGTACAAGCGGTAGCGAATTCGAGACCGAGAGCTTTTGATGACCTGGTAAATTTGAGAAAATGACAAGGTTACTCGATAGTCGATAGTCGATTTTTTTTTTTTTTATAAAGCAATCGTTCATTGACAATGGTTGGTCGTCGTAGTGATAGTCGTAGTCGTCGTTAATAGGTAAAATTTTACCTTCATTTTTGTGTAGCTCGCGTTGCGAGGCATAAATGTTCTCCTGCTTCGTCTCGTACTTTTCCTTCTGTAGCTTCACGTAGCTCGTCGACACGTGCTCCTGATTACGATTGACGCTCTCGAGCCTCTGATAATTGTCGTGCCTAATGCTCTCTTGGATGGCTCTTGGCGATACGTAATTGCTCTCCTTAAACTCGTGATTGTGCAGATTATTGTGATGCCTTATATTGTCATAGTTCTTGCCAGTGGCGTAGTGCGACTCTTTGTCCTTTTTGGCCGGGCACGAGGAGTTGGCCTTGCAGGGCGTGCCAGCAGCGAGATAATTTTGCCTGGCGGGCAACGGTGGCGGTGTGCCGTCTCGACGATTCGCCGTCGACTCTTGCTCTTGGGTGTCCACGAGCTCGTACCTACCAAATGGGGCCAATGGCGTAAATTAATTTGAGAGGATCGTTTCTCATCGTCGGCATTAAAACGTAAGGCGTTTACGAGCACGAGGGTCAGCAGCCCCAGGAGTTTAAAGTCGGCGAGAAGGTGACGTGTCTTAATACGACAAGGCGTTACAACGGACCAGGAACGCGCACTTGTCGATCAAGTGGGAGCATCATTCTTCTCGCCGATTCTATGAACGATTGTCATCGTAGTCGCAAGAACTACGAGAGCCATATAATTTAAGATGAGAGATCGGCGGGACAAATGTTAAGAGAAAGAAAGAGAAAAGATAAGAAAGGAAAGGAAAAGAAAGACAGAAAAGGGGAGCAAAAGATGATGAAATATTTGCATTGGAGGCGAGTTCGAGATAGCACTCGCACGCAGACATTTCATTTCCCAAGACAGCCTCGATCGTGCGCGCGACTCTAAAATTGATGACTCGGACCTCGAAGAGGTCGCACGGGAGTATCATCGCTCCAGGCGTAGTGCGTGCGCGATTCACGCAAACTCCCAGTGCGTTAACCGTCGTTCAACGATAAGCGGTTTCGTAATAAAGCTATCGTCACGCACGCAACACTCACCATCGATCGTCAGTGCTACTGTGTCCGCTGCTGCTGCTCGTCATGGTACCTTCTATGGGAAACCGCGGATCGTTGAACGATCTCGAGCTTGAGCCCGTTCCATATCCGGAACTGTTACTGGACCGCGGAGGACTAAAAGAGCGATCGTACCTCCTTTGGTGTGGCATGGCGGTCTGCTGGCCCGGCGTATTATCCGGATTAGTAACGTTTTCGTAGTCCCCCTCGTAGTTACTCGACAAATACTGGCAATTTTGGAGAGTGCAGCCTCTGCAAAAGGAAGAACACTTTTATTAGATGCGAGACTGGTGAATCGTCGCCAGCGTCACTACTAGCGGCACTAATTATTTCAAGTTTATGGCTCAAGGACAGAGGGGTAGCAGAATTCGCTGCCTACTTATTCATTAATCGCGGCCGCGTTACGATCGATGGACGGGCAACACCTCGACGAGAGCAAATGGCTTTTCGTTGATGGTGTTGGTGCGTCAATCTGCATTAGTGCGGTGGTGGGACGGGGACGGGGACGGGGAGGTCCAAAAAGGCGTAACGGGTACGCGTGTCCTAATAATGTTAAGGTAAAGCGACTTACCGCCTGGGAGCGCCGTCGTTCGCTGGTGGAATGACCGTGACCGTAACCTGGGCGCTCGTCTTGAGGAGATCGACCATCTGGTCGTGGCTGAGGGTCGACACGGCCACCTTGCAGATCTCGACGAGTCTCGAGCCCTGCCTCAGTCCAGCCTGCCACGAGGATCCCATACTCTCGACCTGCGTCACTACGCCGTCAGGCTGCACGTGAAAGCCCAGCTGCCCAAGGGCGTTCCTCTTGAGGGAGAGCTCCGAGGCCGGAGCGCCCTGGGTGACGGCGCGCAGCCGCGCCACGATCTCCATAAGCTCGTCCCGGTCGCCGTAGTCTCCGCGCACGTGGATCGTTATGCACTCGCCTTGGTGATGGTAGAGCCGCAGGCTGAAATATGCAATGCGTCACTGTCATATTAACGCCTTGAGGGAGATGAGGTTGTGTCCCTCTCTCTCTCTCTCTCTCTCTCTCTCTCGTCTTTCTATCACAGATGCTGGATTGTGAAACAGACGGGGAAAGGAGGTGATCGGGTTGAAGGACGCGTAATCTGCAATGACAGTTGTAGATCGTAGTTTGACGAAGGGTGACGATGCACCACCCATCATCACTCGCGTTGTTAGTGTTAAGATCGTAAATTTTTGGGTCAGAGGATATTTACAAGTGCATAATAGACTTTTAAGGGAAGCTTCGTTATCAGACGCGTCACGAAAGAACAGGATGCGACAAAAAATTTCTAGCCAACGAGCGTAACGGAAAAACTTAGCCATTGAGATGGCAATATCAATCTTAATATAGGGAATGAAATTTCTTTCACGGGCACATCGACCTCTTCAACTAAATAAGACGTCCGTCCATATTAGGCTTAAGCAAGATAAGATTGAACGAGCGTACGTACCTGTTGGTCTGAGCGTGCCATCCCAAGACGCTCATGCAGGGCGTGACGAAGACGATTTGCCTCGAGTGCTCCTCGATCAAGACTATCGTGTCGATGCTTATTCCGAGATAACAATCCGTATTTTGATTGCTGTCCTCGAGAATGACCTGCCAGCAAATTGCGCCACGCTGGGAGGCGTCGCAGGATAGGCGCGGACGGGTCGCCGCTTTTTTCTTACTGCTGAATGACAGCATCGCTGAACGGGGCAATTTTAAAAGGGGATAGAGATGAAATTATTACGACTGTGCTTTGTTGGCTGTATGGGACGAATCGATGATTCGATGTCGGATCACGATCCAAACCCCAATAATGTCTCCAATTTTTTTTTATTTATTTATTTATTTTTTTTAATAGTAAGTTTTAATAGTAAGTTGATTATTATTATTATTATTATTATTATTATTATTATTATTATTATTATTATTATTGGTGCTGGAGTACTATCATTGGATTATTTTGAATCGCATTATTGGGGCAATATTAATTGCCGAATCGTCGAATTCCGAAAGTATTAGTAGCCATGCTAACAAGTTGTAGCTTTTACTTTACTATTTAAGCTCATATATCATATCGAAATTCTTGTCTATAATGATTAATTATTGATATTTAGTGAAAATGGATCGATTAATTCGTGTACAATATCGAAAGAAGCGATAAAAAAAATTTCATTTCATATTATTAATCGATTAGAAAATATATGTTGTAAATATTTATTGATCTCGTAAAAAGGGCCAACGGCCGTTGTAAACTGCCCAAGTGGCGTCGAAACCAATCCCTCGAGAGTAATTGAGACATACAATACAGAAAGGTAAATCGGGACTCACAGAACTTCTGCCCGGTCTCGACGAAGGTCGTGGACGAGTAATTGGTGGCGAGGTCCTTAAGGTACTCCTGTCGTGTGCGCGTTGCCATTGTCGCGAACTTCTCCGAGCGGTGCGCGGCGTTCTCCGCGTTGATGACCTTGGCGAGAATGAAGTCCGCAAAGTGCTTGCCCTTGGGGAACGTGGCACCGGACGGTACCGGGGGCCCGAACACCGGGACCTCCTTGCTGCGCGACACCGAGACACTGTATTGCGTGCTGTCCGTGCAGGGGCTGATGGCCCGCACGATTATGAACACGTGCTGGAACTGCGAGCGTATCCTTCGCGGACTGAAGGGCAGCGCTCCGGGCTCCTAAACAAAACAAGCCAAGAACCTCCTGTGAATGAGTGGGCGATAGAGTTCGGGAGGTTGGGGAGGCTGGGAAGTCGAGAGTTCGGGAGGTCGAGAGGTCGGGAGATCGGAAGGTCGGAATGTCGATAGTGACGAGGGCGGATGACGAGCCGTGGCCGAGTCGGGATCCCCAGCTCGGCCGTACTCACTCACTCTCTCGTCGCCACTCCGAAAAGATTCGAAAGTGTCAGCTCTCGACACTGCGTTACTACACCACTTTCAAGCCAAAGTATGGCCTCTTTCTTTATAATGCAATTGAATTGACGTTAAGAGAGGTCAAGGTGGTGGCAGAGGCCTTCACTCCGTAGCCCGTCTTATCGACCGCTCTTACCGATAATGAAATTTGTAGTTAATTGCGCGGCGGTGAGAAATTTGATCGGTTGGCAGTATGATTTTACATTTAGAAAACGCGCGATAAACAAAACATGCCGAGGCCGATCGTGTGGGTAATTGTGACACCGAGACTGTCGTCGAGCCTCCTTATAATGGATGTACTTATAATGTATTTGTACCTGGAAGACAATGGTGACGATATCGTTGCCGATGTGGCGCTTTCTCAGTAGCTGCTGGCGATTGTTCGGCGTGAATGGAAGCATCGTCGAGACGTGAAAGGTGACTTCGGCTCCTCTGTGAGTGGCAGCGACCGCGTGAGTCCCCGTGGAGTCCGTCCTAGTATCGAGGCCAGCCTTGTAGCCCTCGAATCCTCGTAGTCTTATTCTTTGGCCTGTCGACAGACAACAGATGAGCGAGCGCATTAGCGTAGAAAGGACTTTGGATTTGTGGTGGAGGAGGAGGAGGATGAGGAGGAGGGGCTCGGGGTGGATAGAGTAGCGCTAATTAATGTAGCAATAATCGTCGGGCTTTGTTTGATTAACGATCGTTAAACGATCGATTAACGAGGCTCGATGTTGGGCCCCAAGGCGAGTACATTGCAATGGATATGACAAACGCGATAATTACCAATTGAATCTAAGAATTCGAGAAAGGCTGGACCGGCGTGCTGATTGTTATACATTTCCTCTTCGGTCCTCTGCCCGGCTCTGCAGTAAAGAACACCAACCTTGTACCTGAAACGGACCGAGATAATCATTATCATTGTTGTTGCTATTATTATTATTATTATTATTATTATTATTATTATTATTATTATTATTATTATTATTCATTTATTTATTTATTTATTTATTATAAACGACGGCTCACCTGTTGGATAGACCCTGCTCGTCGAGCCTGGCGAGCGCCTCCTCCGCGGCCGGCGTCCCGAGTCTCAGGCAGTTCATCTGCACCTCGGGGGCGACGAGCTCGAGTATCTCCCTAGTGGGGATCCTGGCCTGCTGTGGTCGCGCACCGGCGAGCGCCTCCTCCGGCACGGAGCCCCGGAGCGTCAGAAGCTCGGAGGTTCTGACGACGATCCTGTACTGTTGGCCATCCCTCCTGATGCTGATGGCCACGGGTCCGAGCTGCTCGTCCATGCCGAACCAATTTTGGTGCTCGCGCCCGAGGAAGTAGCGTCGGTAGTAGTAAGCGCCCTCGTCGATACTCTCGATCGGCAGGGGACGCTTCTGCAGGGGGCAGGTGTGCTTCCAGAGGCTCTCGCTGGCCGCGGGCTCGAGGACGCTTACGCCGTAAGCGAGTACCGGGCGGTGGAGTCCGTTGCCCTGGGTGCGCCGGGTGAGACCGACCTCGCGCTCGCCCTCGCCGCCAGTCTCGTTGCGGAAGAAGGGGCAGGATTCGAGGAGCTCGTTACCTGCACAGCGAACGACATTACTTATTAGTCCTGCTTATTCATTATAATGACTTATCTCTAACACGTGGGGACTATTTGAACTATTTACGGCAACTTGAAATGCCCTCGATTCCCCATCTCGCCCATTACTCCCCTCCAATTAATCAACAAAGAATTGATTGGCCGATAATCATGTTAGATTATTAGTAATAAGGTAATTAGGGTCAAGCACAGTCCTCTGGTATCATCATCAGCATTTTCATCTAAATCCTTACGATACGTTTGCCCTTAATCCCCAATCAAATTATCGTTATAATTTCATGGTTTCTTCGAAAAATGACGCGTTATCGAAATGACTGCGAAAGAAACTGATGATGCGAGCAAGTCTTTATGATGTTGGCTTCGTATTTATGATATTGGCTTAATATTCCCTGACATTTATTGAATTAATTGAATAATTTAAATGACCAATCGCTCGATGAATCGACTCCTGATCCCGTTCACGTAGAAAGTAAATCGTCCAATATGTATTAATTAATCTTGTCCGAGTGGCAATTTTGCTTTCATATAATATCCCCGTTCGATCTAAATTATTTAGCGATATTAGATTTCAAAACAAACTTAAAACTGATGCTCGATTTCACAAGAAAAATTTATGCTAATATACTTGGTTTACCTTGCGCAACGCTCCATCATAAATCTATGAAAACTGACTCTGAATAGCAAGAAATATTCCTGCAGCTCATAGTTATCGTTATGCTTACTTGGATTTAATTGTTAATATTTATAAGATTTTACATTACGATTTTTATCGACTTTTTGAGTAAGTAATGATTAATGTTACGTCTAGACTATACGACGACTAGACAATTGAATTTTCGATTGATTAAAAAAAAATTATTTGATAAAAATCCAGCAATCATTAGTCGATATTTATCTATAATAAAATTTTTTCAGTTAAATAATACGAATTATTTTACGGGTAAGGACAATTTATTCATAGAACTTTATTAAAATTATGTTAAATTGTAATAATAATAATAATAATAATAATAAATAAAAAATAAAAAATAAAAAAAAAGTGAAATTAGAAGAAAAAGATTTGTAATTTTCGTATTAGCAAAATATTAGCAAAGTGAAAAATAACTCTAAATGAATCCACATATTATCGGCTGAAATTAATAAAAAATAAAAATACATATTGCACGATCATGTTTGCCAACTACTTACACAACATTAAGCTCGACTCGTTTGACATAAGAAAGGGATGATTTTTCCGGCCCATAAAGTTGAAAAAGAATTTTCGACAAAGTCGCCCGCTTGAAGTTGGGGCTGATTGGGCCTGACCGATATCACGAATCGAACAGAGCGATCCACGTGTTCATCGACTTACCTTTGCCGTCGCCGGCGTCCTCTTCGGGCGCCTCGTCGGGTGTCGAGGCTCTGAAGGCGCTGGCCGCCGAAGCCCCCGTCGCGGTGTTCCTTCTCCTTGCGAGGAGGATGCCCCGGAGCTTGGCCGCGTAGCCGAGATTCGCGGTGAGGGACTGGCAGTCATAGTGGGCAAAGGCACGCCTCCTATGGCGCTCCTCGACATCGGCCGAGACCACAGGGCTAGTGCACGTCTGCTGTTCCTCGACGGTGGCGGTCGGAGCGAGTGCAGTGGTCGGGCCCTGACCCCGAGTCGGTTTATTGCTACCCCAGAGCCGATTGAGCTTTAGTCGGAGCTTGGGACTGGAGCCGCTCGGACCGCAGACCTCGTCGACGTCAGGCGAATGCAGACCCTCCTGATGATGATGGTGATGATGATGGTGATGATGCTGATGCTGCTGCTGCTGTTGTTGCTGCTGCTGCTGCTGCTGCTGCTGCTGCTGCTGCTGCTGCTGCTGCTGCTGCTGCTGCTGCTGCTGCTGCTGCTGCTGCTGCTGCTGCTGCTGCTGCTGCTGCTGCTGCTGCTGCTGCTGCTGCTGCTGCTGCTGCTGCTGCTGCTGCTGCTGCTGCTGCTGCTGCTGCTGCTGCTGCTGCTGCTGCTGCTGCTGCTGCTGCTGCTGCTGCTGCTGCTGCTGCTGCTGCTGCTGCTGCTGCTGCTGCTGCTGCTGCTGCTGCTGCTGCTGCTGCTGCTGCTGCTGCTGCTGCTGCTGCTGCTGCTGCTGCTGCTGCTGCTGCTGCTGCTGCTGCTGCTGCTGCTGCTGCTGCTGCTGCTGCTGCTGCTGCTGCTGCTGCTGCTGCTGCTGCTGCTGCTGCTGCTGCTGCTGCTGCTGCTGCTGCTGCTGCTGCTGCTGCTGCTGCTGCTGCTGCTGCTGCTGCTGCTGCTGCTGCTGCTGCTGCTGCTGCTGCTGCTGCTGCTGCTGCTGCTGCTGCTGCTGCTGCTGCTGCTGCTGCTGCTGCTGCTGCTGTTGCTGGTGCTGAAGCTGCTGGTGATGGTGATGGTGAGATTGACGCCGCACGAGCAACTCCGAAGCCATGGGACTGCGCATAGTCGTGTCGCCCGGGCGGAAATCCTGCAGCATCGCCAGGAGGTTGTCGTTCATGGACACCGACTGGGCCACCACATCGATACTCCCTGTTTGTAAAATAATACAAGCGGATTGATTGATCGTTGAATCGTAGTCGGGATCTAGGCTTTAGCCAACGATAATCTAACTTTGATTTAGCGATGCTACATGGATGCGCGATATTGGGTTGAGTGAGAATGTGCTATTAGCAATCAATATGGATACGACGGTATTATTGAGATTTTTTGGTAATTCGATGGATGTTATCGGTCGTAATATAATGCCGATAAATAAAAATTTCCAACGTCGCGATCTCGTTCTTATATTTTTGTTAATAAAGTTTCATAATAGCGTCGATAATTCACTTTCAGGGACAAGCGTCGGAGCATGCAAAAGACGCGAAGATGCATTTGTTTTTGATAAAAACAGTACAAACTGAGATTACACGTTATCAATAATAGCAATGTAATTATTTCAATAGTAAAGTAAATAATAAAATAAAATGATTTACTTCCAATACATTGCGAGCATTATCTAAATTAGGTGCAATACATACTTTCTTATCTAATTTTTTTATCTTGATACCTTAAATTTAATTTATTTTTTTTATTTAAATACAGTTTATCTATAGCTGCCGAATTAATGCAAGAACAAACAGAATTGATAAGAATTAAATACACTACGGGTGTTTAATTAATAAATATTTCATAATTTAACTTTGCGTAATAGTAAAGAAAAAAAGAAAAGAAAAAAAAACAAGCATAAAGTTAATAAAAATCATATTTAACGAGCACTACGCTTTATATAAAATATCTTTATAATTTAACATAGCGATGTGGAATTATTTGCCTATCGAAGCTATAATATTAATATAAACGCTTAAATGGAAGTAAAAAATCTACATATAAATAATTTATTTATGCGAAACTTTCATGCTCATTTTGTGCTGATTATCTTACCAAATACTACTCCTTCTGACGTAATAGTATGCAAGATAATTATGTAAAAAAGAAATATACTAATTAAAACTTTAGCCAGGAATGGAAATTTGATTTTGTTAAATTATCGGATGGAACACGTTATAAAAATATTTATGTGTGTATGTATAAAAGTCATTGTTATAACAATGGCAGTGATAAGAATATTACTCTTGATGAAAACAGTTTCGTCAATGAAATTAAATATAAAAGGGTTTATTATGGATGGACAATGTAATGTACCATTGTTTTTGCTGAAATAAATGACGAATTTTCATTCCTACTTCTTAAATTTATTTCTTATTTCCCCCCCCCCCTCTAATTTATAAAAATAACCGCGAAAGACTCGTCGACAATTACCGTGTCGACTTAAAATACATAATTCACGCTAAATGCAACGATCAATTATTGGTGTGAAATTATTTTTAAAACGTAATTGCGATCGAATGTTACGAAATCGCAAGGCTTTGGCATGCTTTTAAACTAGTTTCGACATGGTAATTTGTATGTGTGATATAGTGATGAGAAATTTTGCGATGGCCTCAGCAGGCAACAATATATTCGGTCGCAGCAGAAGTAAGAAAAATAGTTGGAGCAATTTACCCAGTCTTTATCACTGAAACGAAACACAGTAATATTTACAAGCCTTGTCAGTGTAATAAGCGAATAACGTAATTACGAAATCTCGCGATTCGCGAATTCATACGAGCTTGTCTACATACAAAAATAAGTGCTTGAACATTCCGATGAATAATACAAGAGCGACTGACTTATCTCGATGCCTATCGAAACGGATATGGAAAAGGCAAAGGTTGCATCGAGCGTCTCTTAATTCCCGGCACATATTAATCGAATAATTTCATTCCCCGTCTAATCTGAAATTTCGATATGACGGCTCTCCTCTGTTGTCCAGTCGTTAAATATCCTCCTCCCATTGTCTTTTTCCATTGTGCTTGTTCTCGCGGGGCTCAATAATCCCGAGCGTAACGCACCAAGACAACCACACACAGCCCCGTTCTCCAAAACAATGTGTTGGAAAATTCAGAGCCGATGGATAGTCGTCGTTCGGAGCTGCGGACGACGCGACCGGATACTTTAGAGGCAAATATGCTCGTGCGGGCGCGTGTGCGCGTGTGCGCGCGGCTGAGTTTCATACGTACCATGGGAGCCATATTCCCGGCGTAGTGGAGTCTCCGGGACTCGCGAGCTCGGATCCGGACTGTGAGGCAGCTCGAGGCTCGAGTTGGAGCGATGTAGGGCCAGGCTGCGACCAACGCGGCTTCCGGGTCCTACGACTCCGCCACTACCGCCGCCGCCTCCGCCCCCACTGCCACCGTTAGATGATAAGCTCGCGATCATCTCGTCATTCTAAAAGCAAATGAGTAATCGTGATGATTTATCGAATCTTGCTTCTCTGATACTCACGGATAGTGAGTTTCTTCATCGTTTTTCACTACACCAGAGGAATTAAAATATATGTTTGTGTGCGCGCGCGCGTGTGTCTTTAATTGTACGTGAATTATCATCTATTACGGAAACGCCAACGAGAGTACAAACAGTATGAAATAAAACTTTGTTGTTGTTGTTGTTGTTGTTGTTGTTGTTATGAGTTAATATCGAATGAGAAAACTTAATAATATTCGTTTAAGTAAATTTTTATTCATTGTTCTTGTAAATTGAGGGTGTTTGATACGGCAGGCAAAGGGTCTTTAAAAGAAAATCAAGCTGAATTCGAAACGTTACATATATTTTTATCATTAAATAAAGTACTTTTCAATACTTTCTGTCATAACAATATAATATTAGTTTTTATTGCATAATATTTTTCACATCCAATGAAATTCATAATTGAAATTCATTAGAAGAAGTAACAAAAATGTTGTCGAATATTTATTTCTCTAATCATATAAGCAAACTTTACAAGAGTCTTTTTCCTCTTCTTCTCAGAATTTCGATTTTTCGCCTTTCGACTCGTGAATTTTCAATGTCCGGATATTTTGGGGCTTTTATTACTTGGTCGGTTGAGACATTCGATCGCTTCGAATATTACACAAATGTAGGGACAGTTTGGATTCTTCATTGGTCGGATGATCAGCATCACCCACCCTATGTCGGCATTTATAGAGATTCTCACAATTTTAACATTAACGCTGGCCTTTTGGATTATTGAATTTTTTTGATTCGTAATTGGTATAGAAGACTATTTCATTTTTACTTGCATAAATATTTAATGTCTTTAATATCAAGAATAATTTTAAACGGCACGTAAATTAGTTTATATGAAGCCATGCTAATGTAAACTAGAGACAAATCAAATGGTAGAGCAATTAAATATTTTTATAATTAAATTATATTTATAGAGTCAATCAATCAATTGATTATGTAATGATATTATGTCTGCAGTTATTTCTTGATGTTGATTCATAAGTAAAACAGAGCCGGACCAATCATAAATTTATATTCCAAATTCAATTCGCGTGATACGTGAAATTTCTTTCAAATAAATTTTCATCCGCCGCGTTCAAATCACAATTGAACAAGTACCGCATACTTAGAATTGCTAATAGTATTTGTATTTGAGTAGATTAGGCATCTTATCGAATGAGTCAGAGATCGATACTATCGGCAGCTTGGCTAAAATAAAAATAATTTTCTGTATTTATCAAGACGCCGGACCTGCGTAATAAAAAATGTATGATTAATTTTTTTAAGACTTTAAAAATTAGTGCGATTAATGATAATGTTAATTTTCATATTCTCGAATGTATCGTTAAGGGGAAACGGACACCGACTTTCTTGCGAAAAGACGGAGGAAAAAACGAAAAGCTGGAGTTCTTAGCTCGCTGTTGAAAATACATATGTAGCTACATAAAAGTGAAAGGCAAATCTTGATCAATGTACAAGTCATGCGCGTATTAAATAATTTACTCGAACGCAATAAATATTATATTAAGGAAATGGAGGGATTAGGAAAAAGTATCGTGTATGACGAAAATTCAAGAGCCCGGGAATAGTGAAGGTAGTGCTCTCTCGTATCATCTCGAGTTTCGTATTTAAGTGGATTTAATTAAGCAGGGTAGGGTCCTTCCACTCGCTTTGTAATCGCAAAAGTGAAAAACACGAAAGCGCGTGCTCGTACGTCTATACGTGAAAGAGGGACGGGAGAGAGAGAGAGAGAGAGAGAGAGAGAGAGAGAGAGAGAGCGAATTTGAATGACAGGTGCGTCCTTTCGTGTAGGATGAAAACACGCAAGGGCTGGACGAAAAAAAGACAGAGAGTAAACAGGAGGCGAGGAAAGAGGACGCAAAAAAAAAAAGGCGCGATGTATGATGGCAAATTCATTCGTTCGGAGGTAGTGACTGTTCTTGTTCCCCCCTTCCATGCCCCTAGCGCTCCTTCTCCATTTAGCACGCTGGGAATTTCCTTTCCTCGCCCGCCCCTCTGCTTTCTTTCCGCGTAATTACGAATGGCTTTTCATTACGGGGGCCGAGGCGACGACGAGGTTCGACATCCGCGACTACGCCCAATGCACATTAAAACCATACGTGTATGTAGCAATGCAACATGTTAAGGTGGAACGGGGTAAGGACCGGCGTTTGCGTCATCGGTGAAGTTAAAGGCGAACTGAATACGTTTAATTGAATATTGTCGAGCGCTTCGACGAGGAGTTACCGAGCCCGGCCATTATTATCCATTATTTCCATTGCAAGCTCACTCGCTGCCACGGAATTGTTATTAATAATGCGCGCGTCGCATGTGCCGGTCAATGATAGCCTGGGCCGGGGTTTCGAGAAGGAGAGCCAAGTTTTCTGTAAATATTCATTCTTATGTGAGTTTCAACCAACTACTTTGTTTTGCGCTGTTTACTCTTTAATTCTTTCTCGCGCCTCGGTCATTATTAAAGCTTTTATTCCGTCTTTTCCTTTTCTCGGAACAATTATTACTCCCCGTCAATCATTGTCCCCGCTATAGATATGCCTTTGTCTAAATATATTTTACCTTTGTCGATGCGCTAAATTAAAACATGCCACTATATTTCATTATACAATTGAAATAATGTATCTTATTATTTTGTATTAATTAATTGGCCTTAGTTTCGTTAAATATACCATGTGTTTATCTCTCTCGCTTGTTTATCATCCGCACTTGACCGTAATATCCTGCTCAATAATTTGAAATATCAGAGAGTTTCGATATATATATATATATATATATATATATACATATATGGATTAGCGGGTAGTTTTATGATTTCATGGCAGGTATATCATCGGAGAATATATAATGCATAATGCGTGTGTGGTATTTGGTATTGATTTCAAGTTGCGGCCGACGTATTGTACAGTATGGAAAAAAGTTTGATTGATGGTAAGCAATTTGCGTGAGATAACAAAAGAAAAAATTTTGTAATTCTGTAATTTTGAAAAAAGGATTGAAATTTCAAAATTTTGACCGAACGTCCGAATATTCTCGTGCTAAGCTTTCTTAAATTCACCACGTTGTCTGGACGAAAAAAAGTAGTATTGCCTTCAAGATCGACAACGACAATATTAATTGCCCAGCTGAATGTAGGGAGGAGGAGGAGGGGACGGATAAACCCTCGATTAAGTCCGACTAGAACTGTATATAAATAGGTGCGTAAAATAAAGCGAGAGAGAATGATAAACAGAGGAATAATGAAAATAGAATGTACACAAAATAGGTGGCTATTATTGCGGCGAAAATAATAAATGTGCGAAAAAGCGACGGTTTGGGGAGAGACGGAGGGTTCCGGCGAGTGATGGGATGAAGCGCGGCTGGTGAGGGGGTGGTTGTCGCGTAGGGTAGGGTGAGACAACACATCCGCATAGCTGGGGAACGCAGGCTTATTGCTGGCATCCGATGTAGGCCGGAGGAAGGAAGGCGGCACGGCACTGCTGCTGCTACTGTTGCTGGCGCCGTCTGGCCTCGCTTCTGAGATCACGTTAATTAACTTGGCTCGAGTCACAGGGGCCAGCTGCCGAGAGTGGACGACGAGTCCGGTGTGCGTGTTGCCCGGTAGCCGTTCGTCCTCGACTCTCCCCTAGCCCCTACGCACAACACCCAGTCCCACCAGCGCCGCCGTCGCCATCGCGCCCCAGCCAAACTTAGCAACGCTTTATTTACGCGCCATGTACCTCTTCCTCCTTTGCTTCTGAACCCCACCCCACTCTCCCTCGGCCCTCCCTTCATCCCACCAACATTGTCGCGCCTGCCGCCATTCGACTTTTTTTTTAATGGAAAATTGACCCGCCTTTGAGTTTGCTTACGAGCATTGACGCGCCATTGATGTCGAATGAGAGTGAATTCGGGAACGATCTAATTGCCCCACGTTCTTTTGGAAATGGCGAGATGCTCGTTCTCTCCTTTATTATTGGACAAGGGCGTGAGCCACTACGGGAATTTAATGGCTGGGCAAACTTAAAAATCTTTTGGTATTTGTTGGCGTTGGGGCAACGATTTAATCGCCGGTTAGCCTGTAGACTTTCGAGGGGTAATTTTGAATTTCGTAGCCGCAGTTAAGAAAGATGCACGATAAGTACGAATTTAATATGTAAGTACGGAATATGTAAGTACTAAGTACGGAAACTAATAAGGCCACGATTACGTTTATTCACGCCTTGTATAGTGCTAATGTACATACATATGCCGATACAAAATAAAAAACAAAACAAAAAACAAAAACAAAACAAACAAAAAAATGCTTGGGCAGCGTCTATCCTTCAAGCTATTCACAATACAATTACATTTGAATTTTTTCACTTTATCACACGTTTACCGTTGCACATTAATCGATTCTTTCTTATCTTTGCGTTTTCTCTCTTTGGCCCTTTTCTTTCATTCGTCTTTTTGATCAATATCTTTTACAATAAAAATTTTACTTTCAAGCCTGACTAATAAATGCCTAATTGAAGTCCTGTGCACATCAATTTACGGGCATTTAATGGAGCGTCTAATATTGATTTTCGCTATACAATCTACCGCAATGGACGTACGAGTAGCACTCGTTAAAAATTTTTTTAATTAAAAGCTCTTTTCGTTTTTACGTCTAAATTCGTGGATTAATACAGTACATTGAAGTGCCAATTTACACGGCAAGGCATTAAAATATTAAAAGATATTACGTCTGTACATTGTAAGAATAATTTACAAACAACGATCGATTACGACTTTAAGCTACGATATCACTTTGAAACCGATGGCTCATTCGTTTAATTGATATGTTTTCCGAACGTTCTCTATAATTATATAGTATTAGAGGGGCCTAGTGAATTCGAGATTTACGAATGATCGATGACCACGAACGGGGGAGGGGGGGGGGGGAAG